ACATATATATACATATTGGTATAGCAATAATAATATATGTATATAATATATGTATATGATTATACTATATATGTATATATATGCATATATGAATATAACTTTGACATATTCGTATATGCTATTTCGAAAGCTTTTCTTTTATTATTTTAAGTTTTACACTAACTGCCTCAAATTTTTGTTTATTTATTAAAAAAATATGTATGTACATATATGCGGTATAATCTTGAAATAATTAAATTTATAATTATTAATTAATTATTTTTAAATATATATATAATAATAAAATTTAAATAAAAAATTTTGAAAGTATAATTTTCACCCCTGAATATTAATTTTGATTATAATCAAAATATAATGTGTATGTATGTATGTCTATAATACAGGCGGAATAATGTAAGTAGGGTAACACTACAATTCTGTTTTAAACCAACATATCAATATTTAAGTACAAGGAGTGAGAAGAAAGTAAATATCCTATATGTATTCCTAATAATATGGCTGATATTCTTGTATTGGCAATATTTGGAATGGCAATTGAATTTGTTTGACCCAATTTTTTTTCTTTGAACTGTGTAAAAACACCAATATGAAGGAGCTCGATACTAAAAAAATTGAATAACTGCAACAGGAGTGCTAAAAACAATGTGTCAAGAATTAGGCTGTCAAAACTTATCAATTCTAAGCAAAGAAAGGTCTTCCAAAGAGTTTGTGTTTAGATTTTGTCATAATGAAAAGCAGACGATTGAGTATGTGTCGTACTTTTACGAAGCATTCATCAGAAGGGAAATAATTCATACGTATAACATCTTCAAGTGGGACCTTAGGTCTTTTAGGAAGTAAGAATTTGACATTAATTTAAAATTATATGAGGGTAATAGGACGAACAGATGCTCTATATAGTCCAACCAAACTGTAGTTTAATTTAATCCCATATTCATGCCGAGTGGTTTGAAAATGATTGAAAAAAAACCGACCGAAAAAATGAAATATCGAATGAAACTCTTATTTTCGCTTTACTGCAAAATTGTTAAGTTAATAAAGTAATTTTTTTTCAATTTTTTCTGAATTATTTTCAGAATTTCTTTAATTTTTAAATTAAATTCATTCAAAAAAAATAAAAAAAAAAAATAAAATAAAATCTTTTGTTTTAATAAGAAAAATGTGGAAAATTATTGACAAATACGAAAATGCATATGGATTCGGCTATAATGCACGATTCAGCTCAAATCAACAATACGCTGAATCGTGCACATCATTAACCATATCTATCGATGCAGTTTTTAATTCACCAAATACTTACATATATACATGCAAGTATTATTATTGCTGAACCCTTCAATTACATAAAAATAATTATTCTTCTCATTATTATTGACATTTGTATTCATAATGTAACATAGTGATATATTTGTACATATACATATATTCCATTTTCATATGTAAATGCAAATACGAGTATGTATGTACATACTTATACACTACATTTGTAATTTTTTCATTTAAATTCTAGGCTATATATCACGCCATCTATAAACTAGCTAAAATTATTGTATATATTTAAACACATTTTTGATACAATTATTACACACAAACTTGTACATACTTACATTATACATACAATATAACCTGTAAAAGAATAAAAACTGTAGTAATCCAACATCATGTATGCAAGTAGAATATTTATGTATGTACATAACTAAAAATGAAAAAAAAAAAATCAAGTGATGCGATGTGGAGGATAAACAGCTTAATTCATTCTCGAAAAAATGTCAATTGTCAACTTAATTTAGATTGAAATTTATAAAAATCCAAAGAACAAATATGTCATCCAAAGACAATCTGGAGATCATTTAATTTGACAGGCGAAGAGAAACACAAATTTTACTGCATCAGCATTTTTACCTACATTTATGGATAATAAAGGTATGTACATTACGTATATATGTACTCGTATATCATAATACAGAATTTTTAACGAATAAATTTTTCATATGTAATTGTAACACATAACATAAAATTAAAACATCAGGAATACATACTTCATTAATATATTATTTTGTATATATGTCAAAGTTTCTTGAAATCGTTAACAAGCTTAACAAAAATATAAAAAGTCATTTTATTAATTTAAAAAAATAAATAAAATATAAAAATTTTATCCAATATACTAAAAACGTAAAGGTGTATTATAAATTTCATTTTATATTTAGTATATATATAGTGATGTCACACAGTACAGTACTACACTATGTTATCGATAAAATTGTGACATTTTAAATGTTGAAATTCAGAGAAAACTTTATTCAATATAAATATTTGGATTTCTCAACCTCCAAATGACATTCTCAATTGTCATAATTGAGAATGTCATTTGGAGGTGGATTACAAATACAGCCTAATTTTAATCGTAAATCAACTAGCAATCAACTTCATTAATTTTAACAGCTGATTGAAGTTTTAAATTTTATACGGGCTTTTTTTAAAAGCTACTAAAATTTATGCAAAATTTTAGTTAAAACTGTCACTGTAGAAAAAAATTACTGTAGATATAGAAAATTAATTTCAGTCCTATGCATTTGACAAGATTTATGTTTTTCATTATTTGTAAATTTATTCTCATTTCAAAAAGCAAATTATAGGGTTTTCGTACCATATTATTAAAATTACAATTATATTTTGCGAATATCCTATAAATTCACGTCACAATCACCGATCATATATAAATAGAGCTTATCATTAAACAATATTCTTTCATTTTGTCATTTTTTTGTTTTTAGTGCTACAGAAATAAGTGTGTGTATCTACATTCTTTCATACATTTATTTTGTTCCAGTTGTACCTGAATAGGGTATTTAAATAAAAATTTGATAAATATATATACACAAACATAAATAGTATGATCTAAGCTCGTTTATAAAATTTTAAAAACAATAAAAATAATAATAATAGAGAAAAAAAACTAAACACTCAATCAGAAAAAGATGACTTTTCATTAAGTAATTGGAAGAAAAGCTAAATATTTTATAATACATACATACATACACATTATGTATGTGTGTACTCTTTTTAAACCTTAAAGGATCTTAACATTATGATCTGATTATAAATATGTATATCAAAAATCCATTCATAAACTGAAGATGTATTTTATTTTCCTTCTTCATTTTTTTAAGTCGATGGTTCTCATACTCAAAATTTCTTTGTTTTGGGAATTTGTGTAGGTACATAACAAGAAAAAACATTTCGTTTTAATAAAATTTAAAATATTAGTCTCATTTTCTTAAGGTTGACCGTGTACTATATAGTGTACACCACAAATACATGTAAAAATATAAATCTGGACATCCGGCTAAAATTTAAAAGTTGACAAATCTCCTTGTCGAAACCCAAACACAATATATTTGGTACTATAAATTGACAGGTAGTCAGGTAAACCACACAAATACTCAAAGAGAAGAAAAATGTAATGCTCAAAAATTGAAAAAAAAAAATAAGTTAAGAAAAAGATGAGCTTCAATCCTGAATTTTTAAATATATATGTATAAGAATAATAAAACGTAATTAAAAAAGAGGATAATTTTTATTTAATATTCGTGACAGCAAGTAAAAAATTGTTTACATGCACATAATCTACTAATGTTATATAATATTCAAATATTAAACATTTTCAATAAAAAATTCAAATATTTTTAATATTTGAGTATTGTATAATATTTTTGATTTTAATTATATATTCGTATAGTAAATTAGAAAAAGCAACGGAAGCGAAAAATTTTAATTGGTTGTGTATATTTTTTGATTCCCGTAATAAAAATTTGAACTCCCGGAATTCGCGGTTTTAAAAGAAAGTATTTTTTGAATTCACCTCAAAATTTTGTAATTTTGAAAAAAAAAATTTAATGGGAATGGTGAAGAAAATTCACCATCGTGGTGAATTCACTCACCACACTGTGTGAAAATATTTACCACACACACACTACACTAATTGTTTAAACCTTGCGGTCATATTTTGAAATAACATTTGTTGAAAAAAAAAATTTCCATCCATCATGGTGAGTTTCGAAATCTAATTCAATTACAAAATTTCGTTTTCATATATCACCACTAGGGTTAAAAAAATTATTTTTCACAATTTTGTTTTATTTTATAAACACGCCAAATTTTTTCATGTGGCTAAATATATAAAATACATAAATTACATTACTTTTGCTTTAAACCAATAGATGCTGAAATTCGGATTAAAAAACTTCAGAAGTATTTAAATATAATTTAGGTCTAATTTGGGCTACTTTTCTTTTAATAAAAATAGTTTTTATTTTAGAGAAATTTTTTTACATAATGAAATGCCATACATAACGTATTTTATTCCTTATATCACCCGAAGTTCCACTTTATGTATTTAACTTTTCTTCAAATATTAAAAAATTCAAGCATTAAGAACAGCTTTTTGAAAAAAAAATGGAATTCTTACTTATTTTCACACTGAATTTTTTTATAACGCAAGTACAATTTTACAAGAATATTGTATACTGTATGCGGAATCGTATGCGTATTATTAATACGTATGCAGAAATTTAGAAAAGCAAAAAAGTTCTATTATAATAATAATTTGACATATCGTACTAAAGGCTCACATATCCAAAGAAATAACATTTATAATTATTGGGTGACATTTTAAAACCCTAGTAAATTAATGTTTTAAAATGTCACCCAGTAATTAAAGGCCAATACTAGAATATTAATCAAGATACCAGAAAAGTATTTACATAATATTTTTCAAAAACTGTTTTTCATTTTATTTTTAGCTTTGTGTACTGTAATGTTAAATATAAACGAATGTAATATTAACGAATGTAAACTTAAAAAACTGCTAAAAAGAAGGTACTTGCGGTAACATTTTATATGCCGACAGAAATGTCAAACAATTTTTTAATTAAAATGGCAGCATATTTTACTCCGAAAATTTGACAATCACTTTACATAAATTTCTTTGAAATATCCTAATTATTACCTTTTTCAAAAGTGTGATTGGAAAATTTCATAATAATTTTTTTTTATAATATTAATAAAATTAATTGTAATTTATTAATACAGCTCAAATTATATGTTTTTATTAATAAATGATAAATTTTAAAAAGAATAGCTTAATAGCATAAATTTATAGAGAAAGAATCAGATTTTTATTTTTTTTTTGTGAAAAACTAGAAGAAAAATCCGGCGCCCCAAAATGGCAGCTAGTGACAAAGCTCTTGATGATTCTCTTTATCCGATTGCAGTTTTAATTGACGAATTAAAAAATGAAGATGTACAGGTAATGGAATTTTTTTTATTTATAAATAGTTAAAAAAAAAAGATCAATAAATTTTATTGAAATTGTATAAAGTCAAGGTGATAAATAATTTTTTTTTTTAAAAGTAATGAAAATGTTTTCGAAAAATCTAATTCAAGTTTACGCAAAATGTCATCCTTATATTGGGTATAATCGCAATTACGTAGATATTTTATTTTTATTTGATTGATAAAAAAAATCTTGATTTCTCGTTTCATCCCACACAATAATGAGCCTATGTTGTTTTTTTAGGTTTTTTTTTAGATCGTCCTTTGCGGAAATAAATTTATATAAAAAAATAAGTATTTTTAAATTGTATACATACATTTGTACGTATACGCATATGTGATTTTCATTTAATATAGACCTTTTAATTCTAGAGGTATGTAGGTATAGAAAAATAAATTTCAATTTATAAAAAAGTAAATTAAATTTCGTCCATTAAAATGAGTTCCTTTTTACTCATTTTGACTGAATTTTTTCTAGAAATGTTTGGAAATTAAGAGAATATTAGAAATTGTTAGAAAATACTGTTAAAAGTATTAGAATATCCACCTACTAGGCACAATACCAATTTTAGTTAAATAAAGTTCAAAATAAAATTTGGTTTACAATAATAAAAAATTTTTTGTTTATTTAGTTGCGTCTGAATTCAATTAAAAAATTGTCAACAATTGCATTAGCCCTTGGTGAAGAACGCACACGTTCCGAATTGATTCCTTTTTTGACAGAAACTATATATGATGAAGATGAAGTCTTATTGGCGTTGGCAGAACAGCTTGGGAATTTTACAAGTGAGTATCCTTAGTGATTATTTTTAATAGCATTTTTTTACAAAATTTTCTTTTTGAATTTTAGGTTTGGTTGGTGGTCCAGAATATGCTATGTACCTGATTCCACCGCTTGAAAGTTTGGCTACTGTTGAAGAAACTGTTGTCCGTGACAAAGCAGTAGAATCACTACGTACAGTTGCAGCTGAACATAGTGCACAAGATTTAGAAATGCATGTTGTTCCAACTTTGCAACGTCTTGTATCTGGTGATTGGTTTACTTCACGTACATCTGCATGTGGTCTCTTCTCAGTTTGTTATCCAAGAGTTTCACCAGCAGTTAAAAGTGAATTACGATTAAATTTTAAAAAGTTGTGCCAGGATGAAACACCAATGGTAAGACGTGCCGCAGCAAGTAAATTGGGAGAATTGGCCAAAGTAGTTGAGCCTCAATATTTGACATCAGATTTGATTCCAAATTTTATTTTGCTAGCTGGGGATGATCAGGTATTTAATTTTCAATTATAATAGTACAAAATGTAATTTTTAATTATTTTTTTAATTTAGGATTCAGTTCGGCTATTAGCTGTTGAGGCGTGTGTTAGTATTGCACAACTTTTACCTCAAGAAGACGTTGAACAGGTAATTATTAAATTTTAATATCTAAATGGAAATAATTTGAATTTTCTAATTTAAAGTTTGTAATGCCGACCCTTCGCCAATGTGCTGGAGACTCTTCATGGCGCGTTCGGTACATGGTTGCTGATGAGATAGTCGAGTTACAGAAGGCCGTAGGACCAGAAATTACAAAAACTGATTTAGTTCCAGCATTCCAGGTGAAATTCAATAAAAAAAATAGGCTTAATACGCTTTTTACAAATGAACACAAATATATTTGCAGAACTTACTTAAAGATGCAGAAGCGGAAGTAAGAGCTGCAGTAGCAACAAAAGTTAAAGACTTCTGTGCAAATCTTGACAAAGCAAATCAGGTGCAAATTATAATGTCATCTATATTACCTTCTGTAAAAGAACTTGTTTCGGATCTAAATCAACATGTTAAATCTGCATTGGCTTCTGTTATTATGGGTTTAAGTCCTATGTTGGGAGCTTATAACACTGTTGAACATCTCTTACCATTATTTTTAATACAATTAAAAGATGAGTGTCCAGAAGTGCGTTTAAATATTATTTCAAATTTGGATTGCGTTAATGATGTTATTGGCATACAACAACTCTCACAGGTACTGCTTATATTATAGTAAATAATTTAATTATAGTAGATTTGACTAAGATTATATCTTAAAAAATATTTAAATTTGATATATAAAATAAAAATTTCAGTCTTTGCTGCCAGCTATAGTTGAATTAGCTGAAGATTCTAAATGGAGAGTTCGTCTTGCTATAATTGAATATATGCCTGCGTTGGCTGGTCAACTTGGACAAGAATTCTTTGATCAAAAATTAAGAGGTTTATGTATGGGATGGTTAAATGATCATGTTTATGCCATTAGGGAAGCTGCCACTCTAAATATGAAAAAATTGGTTGAACAATTTGGAGCTCCATGGGCAGAACAAGCAATTATCCCAATGATTTTGGTGATGTCGAGAAATAAAAATTATCTTCACAGTATGAAATCTTTCAATTCAAAATTAATCATATACATATATAAAGACAATTCTTAACATTAAAAAAATTATTGTAGGAATGACATGCTTATTCTGCATCAATGTTTTAGCGGAAGTTTGTGGAACTGATATTACAACCAGATTGTTGTTACCAACAGTTTTAATATTAGCAACAGATGCAGTAGCTAATGTTAGATTTAATGTTGCGAAAACTTTACAAAAAATCTCACCATTTTTGGAAACAAGTGTTATAGATTCACAAGTAAAACCAACATTAGATAAACTTAATGCTGATGCTGATGTCGACGTTAAACACTTTGCATCAGAAGCAATTGCCGGTATTGCAGCAGGTAAATTTGTTTTTTTTTTTTATAATAATATGTTATTATTTTCTGCGTAAAAGTACCATGATAATTTTTAAAATTATTTCTTTTATTTATTTTTTTTCTAAATCATAAAAAAAAAATTAATATAAAATAGATTTAGAGCTAGATATTTTTCGAGATTATGATTACGAAGCTCATCGATTTGCATCACGTCCATCAAAAGATTTAAACAAAGATGATGTTGGAATAGATTTATTTGTATATTCCAGTTAGTCAGATAAAATATACCGTGAAAGAAATTCTGTGGTTATCCTTTGTATTCATTGTTTATGTTTATTATCAGTTGTTGTTCGTTTTTCTTTTAGTTTTTCAATTTTCTATAATCGAATAACTCGAATTGAATTCAAACTTTTATATTAAAACTAATTACATATTCTTGGAGAAAATTGCAACGCATATATTAATTCAAATTTTTCCAATGAGATTCATTGTTTTGTTTAAAATATTTCTAATTCCCCATTATAGAGAAAGAAAACTTATAAACCAAAAAATTATTCGAGCGTAGAATGCATTTTCAAGATTTTCTCCGAATTTTCTATTACATTAAGTCAATTGTTATCTTGTGCAAGTGGATTTATACAATTTAATATTTTTTTTGTAAATATTGAGTAAATATATACTTTAATTTATATATGTATACATGTATGATTGTTAAACTTTACACTTGTTTAAAAATTTACAACCTTCATCCCAAAAGTGATTTTTTTTTTGTATAAAATTACCAAATAATTGTGTAGTTTTTTTTTTTTTCAATTTAATATGTAAAATTTATTTGTGCTTGCAAAAATAAGCAAGTAAGTTGAATATCTTTGTTGTTCTCCTTCTAATTTATTGGCGTATTCATGAATTTCGTTCGACACACCCTTAGTATTTTCATCATTTAAAGTTCTAAGTCTTATTAAGTTTATCCCTCGTACTAATTAACGTTTTTGTATTTCTTTTAAATTTTTGCAAATAAATTAATTTATTTTTTTGTTTTCTGTTTCACTTTATTGCAGCGTAAGGATAACTTTAGTATGTAAACAATACAATTATGATACACAAAATGCAGTATAATTTTTTTTAACACAAGCAAAAAACAAAAAAAAAAGAATAAAAATCAGAAGAGTATTTGTTTAAGCAAAAGAGAAGTTAAGTTAAAAAAAAAACAAACAAAAATATCAATGCTTTTAAAATAAGATTTTACAAATTAATGAAAATAAAATATTTAAATAATTATTTTCGAAATTAAATACATTATTGGAAGGAAAATAAAACTGTAACTAATTCAATAATTATCACAAAATACAATATTTAATTAAGAAAAAAAAATAATAAAAAAAAAATAAATGTTCTTTCATTTTTAAAAATTTTCAATTGTTGCAGGGCTCAATGTTATTGAAATGCGCTTGTCAAGATATTTGCCATAATTTTGCCAACTACATTATCTGCTAGTAATTAATTACAACGCTATCTAATTGTAGATTACAAATTATATATTTTTGATGGAACCAAATTGGAGAAGGATGATATAGCACCCCAATATACGAGTATATATAATAGATATGATATTGAGGTTCCCTTATCTTGATTTGTTAAAACATACTATACTAAAATTTGAACCTTAAATGTTAAATTAAATTATAGTTATGCGTTTATTTTGCAAATTTATTAGTGAATTGAAATAAATGAGCATTTCAGATATTTAGCCAAGTATGGGGATTTTCAATAATTCAGTTTTAACTTAGGTCTCTTTAATAAAAAGCACGTTCGATTTACAAAGATAAATTTTTAAGCTTTTTTATTACTACTGCAAAAATATTATAAATTAGAAGAAGAGTATAATAGAAAAATGTTGAATATTGAAGAATTCCTTGAGTATATTACGTATATGTATATGCAAAATAAAAATATTCAGTTTCTTGCAAATTTGTAAGTATGAGGGTTTTCGTTTATTCAGCTCCAAAATAGTTCTAGCTTGTAGCGCATTCGAAAATTCCCGCTACATACACTAATAATATAGATTGTTCGGAAATTACTGGCTGCAATAAAAGTGCGTTCGAAAATTCAATCTTTAATTAAGAAATGTCAGAAATGTAGCACACAGACTTCTAATTTAAATTTTGTCGCTACCTCCTGAAACTTCTTTTTTTTTTTCAAATTTTAAATTTCAAAATGGCAGATACAGATATTGACGGATTATTAAAGTAAATTTTCTTTAAGTCTTCAAATTTTGTTAATATTTCCATATTTTGCAGTGAATTGGAGGGCAAAAAGTATGGCGATACTATTTCATAAACAATGTCTATTTTAGAACGACTAATTATTTAAAAGTTTCAGAATTTGTATACTGCGTAAACAAAAAAAAAAAACTTAGCAATAGTTTTTGCATACTGTTTAACGCTGCAGCTTAGAAATTTTAGTTCTAATTGTAGAACTTTCAGCGCAGCGTGCATAAACGAAAACCTCCTATGCTTGAGTAGATTTTTTAAGAATTTAATTTAGAAGTGTACTATATTTGCAGTAAAATAGTACCAGTCTTTTTGTAACAAATTCTGTGGTGAAACTTTCGCAAGATCTATAAATTAAAAGGAACAATGGTTCCTTGTGGAGTATAATAGCAAAAAACAAGTTGAACTCATTCGTACTTCTTTTCATTTTGGAAAATTTCAGTGATAATGAAATTTTACACTCAATGAGTAGAAACTCTGACAATAAATTAAAGAAATTTAAATTTAAATTAATATTTTATTAATTACGCTTTTATTATATATTTTTTTTTTTTAATTTTTTATTTTGTTTTATTACATTTATAATCAATATAATAATTATTATATTAAGATTTTTTGTTTAGTAAATAATAATAATAATAATTTTATATAAACAGCAGTATAAATGGTTGTACGCTAATAATTTTTTTTTTTTTATTAATTATTTTATTTTTGTATGTTTTTTTTTTTTCTGTTTTAATTTATATTTTAATTTCTTCTTTTATATTTCACTCTCAAAGGAAATTTAATTCCCATAATTATTATTACATATTTTTTTTAATATAAATTTTAATCAACAAATTTTAGTTTTGCACATTTTCAATGTATTTTTTTTTGTTTTTTTGGTTTTCTGTTTATTATTCAAATTGCAAAAAAATTTGACATCAATTATTTAATTAAATTATTTTTATTTATTTTATTTTTATTTTGTTTTTCTGTTTTTTTTTTTGTTTCATATAAAATTATAAAATTCTACATTCGTTTTATAAATGGTCTTTTATTTTTTTTTTTGTTTTTTTTTTTTTTTACTTTTAATCCTTTTCAAATTTTCTGTAATTGTTTATTAATAATTAGTAATTTAGTCTCCATTTTTTTTTTTTTGTTTTAAAGTGCACACAATTAAATTAAATAAGTAAGTAAAAAATTAGAAAATATTTTAGAGAAAAAAATTATTTTAAATTAATTTTAATTATTATAAAATATTTATAATTTTTGTACTAAAGCTAATTAATTAGAATTTAATAAAAAAAAAAGCAATTTTTTAATTATATTTCGAAAAAATTGTCATATTCATTTAAAAGTAGATTTATAATTAATGTAAATAAAATATTTTATAAAGTCATGCAAACGGCCTAGGCCTTTATTCTGGCAATCACCTAAATTGTGACAAAAAAAAAAAAAAAAAAACTCACTTAAAGTTCATATGACTTTTTTTATTTTTAAAGTCGAATAACTTAACTGTTATGTAATGAGATTTAAGCCCCTGTCAGCGTTGGACACAAAAAAAAAAAATTAATGAAAGAAATTGTGAATGAAAGACAAAAACTTCCTTTCATCAATGAAAAAATGAATTCATAATTTTTTGCAATGATAACATCGAATTTTTTCCATATAAAATTACAATGCTTCACAATGGCAATTATTTTCGACTGTTAATGATGACATCAAAAATATAAATTATATTAGGTACAATAAAAATTTAGTGTTAAAAACAATGATGACAGGTTTCTTAATAGTAGTTTGTATATAGTTGTATATAGTAGCAGTATATAGTAATATAGAGAAGATAGGAGGACAACCCTCGCGAAGTTCATGTATTCGGCCAACAAGAAGACCACTCGGCAACTCTCAATTTGACACCTTACAACCTACACGTAATAAAATCCCAAAAAAACCATCAATTTCAAAAGTCGCTTCAAAGATTCCTCCGACCGTAATTATTTATATATACCAATTTAGTAAAAATTATGTTATTTCGAAAGTTGTGGTGTAGTAAACTTAAGTCAAATCGAAAAAATATGACTTTTTTTTTCATAATGTGAAAAAATTAATGTGCCATTATTTGTGACTATTAGAATAAGTGAATGCAACTTCACTATTATTAGATAATGTGACACGAATTTTGGAATAAGGCCTCAAAATATTAAAATGACCCCCTATAAATTAAAAAATATAAATTCAAAATTTAATAATTTTAAAAAAAATTTAAAATTTTTTTTAAAATTAAACAAGAAAAGAAAGAACTAAAATCATTTCTAAATTGAATGAGTGCAGTTTTATAGTTTTATAATATTTAATATTATTTTATGGGTAAAATTTTATAATAATTGTAGATAATTTTTTTTTTTTTAGCTATTTTTGTCCAATAATTTTATATGAAATAGATCATATATTATAGTAGTAAATCATTTTTTTTTTTTACTTTTTTTTTTTGATACTCTCTAGAATAGCATATGCATATATCAGTCATCATTAGATCCATTAAATTATATTAATTATTATGATCTTCTATTAAAAATTTGTAATATTATTAAGTAAAAAGTATTTATGTAATATTTTTTTTTTTTTTACATACTTTTGTAGTTATTTAAAATGTTGAAAATTTAAATTTTAATAGAAAAAGAAATTTTTTTTCTACCCAAATAGTCTTAGACGTATCTTTTGAGATATTTTACATTTTATTTAATAAATTTCAAAATTTTCAGAATTTAATTTTGTAATTTTGTAATTTAAAATTCTATACTGAAAACTTGAATTATCATAATAGCTTTAACTCAAACGATATTTCTAAGAGAATATGGGTAGTCATTTTTGATAATTTTAAATAAAAAAAATTATTTTGAAAAAATTTTTGAAAATTGCACAAATCAAAAAACCACAAAATACAGTAATACCCCGTGTTACGTACGCTCGTTTTACGTACCCTCGCACTTACGTACATCTCATTTTTGTCCCCAATTGCCCATTATACGTACAATGATTCACACTTACGTACAAGTACATTTTTTCTGGTTTTTGAAATTTATGGAAAAAAAAATTATGTATACCAAATTGAGAATGTACACTTGTAACAACAAGCTGTTCAAAATTATCTTCTTTTTTGTCATAGTTTTATTAAAGATCTTCTTCGCTCAGCTTTTTCCTCCTGTCGTCCCTTCCCCTCTTTATTCTCTTTAAATACTTTTCGTTATCAAAAGGAAGGTAACTTGGACTGGTCTGGCGGCATTCTCAAACATTCCTCTCCCGGGGCTAATCCAAGCTTCAGTGTTCTTAGCTCTCGCGTAACAATTACAATATTATTTATATTTAAATTATGTATTGATGAATTTTGAAGTTTATGTTTTATATTTCAGTTTTGTTTGATATTTATATATGTATATGAATTTGTTTTTTGTTTTGTTTTTTTAATACACGTTAAGTGTTAAACATAGTATAAAAACGTATGAAATACTCGTAAAAGTATAAAACTGCATACATAATATCCCTCTTTTTCTTTTTATTTATATATTTATTGTTTTAGTTTGTTTCAAACATATTATTCATCAATAAAGTAGTAGATTCATTCTACGTACATTTTTGTTTTACGTACACGCTCCGGTCCCAAAGGGTACGTAAGTGCGGGGTATTACTGTATATTAATAATTTACAAAATATTCTTATTAATTAATAATTATTTAAATTACAAATATTAAAAAAAAAAATCTATTAATTATATAATTATATAAATATATAAAATATATCAAAATAATTTTCAATTTTTCATTATACAAAAATTTCTTTTTTGAAAAAACTAAAAAATAAAATTTATTTAATATTTTTAAAAAATTTTCTTATCTAATTATTTATAAAAAAAAAAAAAAAATAAAATCTCTTACAAAAATTTACTTTAATTTTAAAAGAATTTACAAA